CGAGGTTTGCAGTCTTTGGCCACCTAGCCTATACTCCGTCTGAGGTTTTCTTTACCCTTCCCCGATCTTCATGACTTTGCATTTGGCCTGTTTAAATTCGAGAAGCCAGTTGCTGGACCAGGTGTCCAGCCTGTCCAGGTCTCTTTGAAGTCCTACCCGATCCTCATCTGTGTGTGTATGTGTGTGTGTGTGTGTGTGTGTGTGTGTGTGTGTGTGTGTGTGTGTGTGTACTCACCTAATTGTGGGTGCAGGGGTCGTGTGTGCGTAGTGTGTGTGATTACTAACCTATTGTGGCTGTGTGTGGGGGGGTTGGTGTGTGTGTGGGGGGGTTGGTGTGTGTGTGTGGGGGGTTGGTGTGTGTGTGTGGGGGGGGGGTTGGTGTGTGTGTGGGGGGGGGGGTTGTGTGTGTGTGTGGGGGGGGTTGGTGTGTGTGTGTGGGGGGGTTTGGTGTGGTGTCGGGGGTTTGGTGTGTGTGTGTGGGGGGGTTGGTGTGTGTGTGTGTGGGGGTTGGTGTGTGTGTGTGGGGGGGGGTTGGTGTGTGTGTGTGGGGGGGGTTGGTGTGTGTGTGTGGGGGGGTTGGTGTGTGTGTGGGGGGGGGTTTGGGGTGTGTGTGGGGGGGATTGGTGTGTGTGTGGGGGGGGGTTGGTGTGTGTGTGTGTGGGGGTTGGTGTGTGTGGGGGGTTGGTGTGTGTGTGGGGGGGGGTTGGTGTGTGTGTGTGGGGGGGGGTTGGTGTGTGTGGGGGGGGGTTGGTGTGTGTGTGTTATTATAAAGAGTGTTAGAGTGATCTAAACGATCAAAGTGCTCTTTCAATTTTCAAACTACCCCCACCTTCGTTCACCAGAATGTGAAAGGCCAACATCAACGTAAGATACGACTGTGGCAGCCGTACACAAAGCAGCCACCAATACTATGTAATAACTTTGGACAATAAGCACCACTTTAGTCCATTACTCTTCTTTAGAAATAGAGAACAATTAAGGATCAATATCTGGGTAGGGAACCAGCAATAACCATTGTGCTAGGCGTGTATCGTGCTCCATAAATAGAGCCTTGAATAACAAGAAGACACAATATCATGACTGGAACAATACACAAATAACCCGCACATAGGAGAGAGGAGCTTATGACGACGTTTCGGTCCGACTTGAACCATTTACGAAGTCACACTAACAGTGTGACTTCGTAAATGATCAAAGTCGGACCGAAACGTCGTCAAAACCTCCTCTCTCCTATGTGCGGGTTATTTGTGTACAGCCTTGATGCCTTGGAATTAGAGCCAATCTTGGATAAACCTCACTGTATTCCATTCCCTAGAAAGTGCATGACCCCCTACGGGCTTTACACTTTCCCCATGAAAATAATACATTAAATACAAACTCTTCACATTCCCACGACCACACTTTTCATCAACTATAATGATACACTCGCCACAAACTGTTCAAACTCCATTTCTCACAAATGTTTTGAAAGATATTTTAATTTTAACACGCGAATTTGTGCCGAGTGCCTGTTTGATATATTACACTAGTATATCGTCGCTAATATGATATATTGTCTGTTGACATGTTAACAGTTATTTATTGATTATGTTGTTTATACCCGAGAGTTCTGCCCTTCTGTTTTGACGAAATGTCTCTCCCATTTTCGTCTTGTCATTTATTCAAATATATCCTAGTTATTTATGACGGCTATATATACTATACGTACCCTCAAGTCTTTTCAAATTAATTCCCCCTAACTCTGAACCATTACAGACAGGCCCCGCTTTACAGCGTTTGGCTAATGCAAAGGTTTTCAGTTATACCCATTCTTCAGTTATTCAGACTTCGTACAGTAACTATATTCACAACACGCTAAAGCTAAGGACGAAAATATTTTTTTTTTTTGCTGCTTCTTGTGAGATTTTATTTATTTATTTATTTATTTATTTATTTATTTATTTATTTATTTAGTAATTTTAGCATACATACAGAGGTACAAAAAATACAGGTAAGAGCAGCATGCCAAAGCCACTTATATGCATAGCATTACGGGCTGGCTTAAAATTAACTTAAGATTAACTAAGCAATGATGAAATCAGTGATAAAACATTATTGTAAACAGATAACTATAAAGCACAAATGAGTATTACAAAGACAGGTCATATGGTTGCATGCATTGTTGTACATTCAGTAGAATGGAGTATCCTGTTAGGTAGTGTATTTAAAAAATAACAAAGTTAGATAGGGTCCTAGGTTTAACATTTGTGTGATATAATTGTGAGTAACATATAGGATATACAATTTATAAGGTTCAGTTATTCAGTATTTATTTGGTTTTGAGTGAGTAAGTGATCTTTGAGAAGAGACTTGAATTTATAAACAGGTAGTGTTTCTTTTATATTTACAGGTAATGAGTTCCAGATTTTAGGGCCTTTTATGTGCATTGAGTTTTTGCATAGTGTGAGATGGACACGAGGAACATCAAAGAGTGATCTGTGCCTTGTGTTATGGTCATGTGTTCTGTTGAGGTTGGCAAGGAGATGTTTGAGGGGAGGGTTAATATCAGAGTTAAGTGTTCTATGTATGTAATAGGTGCAATAAGTAAGTATGGATGTTTTGTATGGTGAGTAGGTTGAGTGTTTTGAATATTGGTGGAGTGTGCTGCCTGTAGTGAGAATTTGTTATCATTCTAACTGCAGCCTTTTGTTGGGTAATTAGTGGTCTGAGATGGTTAATTGTTGTTGAGCCCCATGCACAAATTCCATAGGTGAGATAGGGGTAAATAAGAGAGTGATATAGGGCCAGGAGGGCTGACTGTGGAGCATAGTACCGTATCTTCGATAGTATGCCTACAGTCTTGGAAATTTTCTTAGAAATTTGTTGTATATGTGTATGATTTTAAGTAACATGTGTACCATATATGCATTATTTTAGACCTAGCTCTATTACTCACTTAACATACGATTGTATAAACTTGTTATCAGGCTTTTATATGCATTTGGAAGTGAAGAAAAGGCTGTTTCACTTCACAGCAGCCTAACTTGCCGTATAAGCAAGACTCCTGTACTGTAACATGATGTCCTTATATATTTTGCTGCCTCTTTATGATAGATATCCAAAATGGCACTTACCGTTTCATATCTAATCCACAATTTGAAGAAGAAATGTAAGACGACACTTCATTCCGTATTTAACCATCACGTAAGAGTGAACTGGGAAGAGCGTCAGAAGGCAGCTCAGTGAGAAGGCGAGGAGGAACCCATAAGAATAAGTTTATTTTGACATTATACATGATTGTACAGAGGAATATAATAGTTGGGTGTACATGCCAAAAGCCACTTTGTATGCAGAGCATTTCGGGCAAACTTAAAAATTAACTTAAGCTTAGGAAGGCAATAGTAGTTCATTTGGTCATTAGATAAGTTACAGTGAGTACGAGAGATTTGAATATTCTATTAGGTAATGCTACATGGCTTTGATAAGTCTAGTAGAGAATAATTACAATGTTGAATTAGTTATAAAAATTACAGTATTACAACAAAACAGTTTAAAACAATTTACAATATGATGTATTACAATTGTAAACCTTATTCAGAACCTGGATTTACTAAGCCTTAGAAACTCCCGTAACAAATGAGTCCATAATAGCAAATAAAGTGTTCGATTAAGTAGTATAAATATGCACCTGACTGTTATGACAAGGTTAATATCCCTATTATGCACCCCCCCCATACCCACGGTGTGGGCAGTAGTCAAAGGATTGCAGAGGTACATAATGAGTTCAGGTAAGAGGATGTTGTTTCTTAAAACCTTGTGGGCGAAACGTTGTTTTTAAATAACGGTTTACTCCGTCAATAGTATCCTAGTTTGTCAGCAGTTCTGTCATTCCAATATAACTGATGTTAGTTGACTGCTGAGTCATATCCTGGGAAAGTACCCCATTGATGTAACTAACACAGGCGCAGAAGGTGAGAGGGGGAGTCTGGGGAGGGGGGCTTATTTCCCCTCCCTCTCCTCAGCTACCAAACTGAGCATTTTCAGCGCAAAAATGAACATTTTCACTACAAAAACAACATTTTCAGGGAAAGTTATTAGTGTTGGAGATTTGTTAACTGATTTAAATTCTTATATCAAAAAGAATTTCATAACACGGTAGTTTCTCATACTATAACTTTAAAATTTAGGACACAGTAGTCTCTCATACTGTAACGTATATAAATTGTAGTACGGTTAACAGGGCACTAAAACAAATCAATGAAAATTTCCTCCACCCTCTAGCGAGCACGCAGAATTTACCACCGATGTCGTCATCGCTCTAACGCCCTCACTTTATCTTCCTCCTCGGTGACGGCCCCATCTTTGACACAAGACTCCCTCTTTAACTTTTTTGACGGTAACAGATTTATTACACAAACTTTGATTATATTATTATTGTTCACCTAGTAACATATAGGTACCTAGGAGTAAGGCAGTTGTAAGTAGTATCCTTGAGAGAGCCTTAACGGAAATAAACCATACTGGCTCTGTTAGGTTATTGTAGGTCAGGGACTCCAATGGAAATATACCACATTGCTTGACTTTATTGTGTTACCTTAAGTTAAATCTACATACTGTGCCCTCAAGACGATTGTAATAAAAATAACTGCATGATATAAACAAAAGATAATTACAAACTTATTTACTAATAACACAAGAGGTTCTCTTTTGAAGAGAGAGACACTTATACAACATTTGGGAATTTTTATTGAGATGTTTCGCCAGCTAGTGATTTCTTCAGTCCAATACAGAGAAGAACGATGGAAGATGAGTTTTAAGTAATCAGTCCGTCAGCCTGGGGTCGATATATTCAGTTCACATCGACTCCAGGCTGATTACCTCAAACTCCACCGATCTTCTCTGTATTGGACTGAGGAAGCCACTGGCTGGCGAAACGTTTCCTCAACAAAGATTCCCAAAAGTTGCACAAGTTTCTCATTCTTCAACTCGTCGGTTTTTCTAAACCATTTACATCATATATTTTATTTTACCATAGGGGAAGAATGAAACAAGTTTAACTGCAACTTACTTGTGAAAACCGTATATTGAGGATGGTAGTAACAGAAGGGGATGTTGTTGGTTGTGTTACCAGTAAACATGATGAAGTAACATAAGGTAAAACTAGTTAATTCTGGCAGCGTCTTCAGAGGCAGAGTTGGTGATGACACTTTGGTGGTGTTTCCCGCATTTCCTCGAGTTGCTCTTTTGTTGGCCAAGGTATACAAGAATGAATCATTGTGGAGCTCTCCCCAGTGTGCCCAGGTTGTAGTACCACTGGGGATGTCGTTGTCATGAAAGCTCAAATACGTCAGGTTTCCTGTGTAAAAAAAATACAGACTAAGCTCATGATCCAAGGAATTAAGAGTTACCTTCCGGTCCTGAAATCAAAATTGATTGCCTCGCCTTTCATTTCCCTGGCACTTTATGTTTTGCAACGGTTATCACTTGTTTGCGATTAGTACATTATGGAAGAGTATGTTGGTGTAAATATGCTATAAAATGTTCAACATGCTAAAAAAGAACTGTCGCTTTAACATGGATTCTAGATACTTCCACCCGGAAGTGAGTTTATATAGGTACAGGTTCACATACCTGGAGTTTACCTGGAGAGAGTTCCGGGGGTCAACGCCCCCGCGGCCCGGTCTGTGACCAGGCCTCCTGGTGGATCAGAGCCTGATTAACCAGGCTGTTACTGCTGGCTGCACGCAAACCAACGTACGAGCCACAGCCCGGCTGGTCAGGAACCGACTTTAGGTGCTTGTCCAGTGCCAGCTTGAAGACTGCCAGGGGTCTGTTGGTAATCCCCCTTATGTGTGCTGGGAGGCAGTTGAACAGTCTCGGGCCCCTGACACTTATTGTATGGTCTCTTAACGTGCTAGTGACACCCCTGCTTTTCATTGGGGGGATGTTGCATCGTCTGCCAAGTCTTTTGCTTTCGTAGTTTACCTGGAGTTTACCTGGAGAGAGTTCCGGGGTCAACGCCCCCGCGGGCCCCGGGCTGAGACCAGGCCTCCTGGTGGATCAGAGCCTGATCAACCAGGCTGTTGCTGCTGGCTGCACGCAAACCAACATACGAGCCACAGCCCGGCTGATCCGGAACTGACTTTAGGTGCTTGTCCAGTGCCAGCTTGAAGACTGCCAGGGGTCTGTTGGTAATCCCCTTATGTGTGCTGGGAGGCAGTTGAACAGTCTCGGCCCCTGACACTTATTGTATGGTCTCTTAACGTGCTAGTGACACCCCTGCTTTCATTGGGGGATGGTGCATCGTCTGCCAAGTCTTTTGCTTTCGTAGTGGGTGATTTTCGTGTGCAAGTTCGGTACTAGTCCCTCTAGGATTTTCCAGGTGTATATAATCATGTATCTCTCCCTCCTGCGTTCCAGGGGAAATACAGGTTTAGGAACCTCAAGCGCTCCCAATAATTGAGGTGTTTTTATCTCCGTTATGTGCGCCGTGAAAGTTCTCTGTACATTTTCTAGGTCGGCAATTTCACCTGCCTTGAAAGGTGCTGTTAGTGTGCAGCAATATTCCAGCCTAGATAGAACAAGTGACCTGAAGAGTGTCATCATGGGCTTGGCCTCCCTAGTTTTGAAGGTTCTCATTATCCATCCTGTCATTTTTCTAGCAGATGCGATTGAAAACAATGTTATGGTCCTTGAAGGTGAGATCCTCCGACATGATCACTCCCAGGTCTTTGACGTTGGTGTTTCGCTCTATTTTGTGGCCAGAATTTAGTGCTATTGGTCTGTAGTTCTTTGCTGTTGCTTTACTGCCCCCTTTGTGGAGTGGGGCATGTCTTTGTTTTTAGTAACTGTGGGACGCCCCCCCGGTCCATGCCCCTCCCCAAAGGGATGGAAAAGGTCGTGATAGGGGTTCTTGCATTTCTTGATAAACACGGGCTCCATGAGTCGGCCCTGGGCAGAGTGCATGGGAAGTCTTTATCGCCTGTTCGAAGCATTTGCGCAGGATGTTTTTCGGTGAAAGTTGGGTACTAGTCCCTCTGGGGTTTTTTCAGGTGATATAATCTATTCTCCCCGCCTGCGTTCCAGGGAATACAGGTTCAGAACCTCAACGCCCCCCAGTAATTTGGGGTTTTATCTCCGTTATGCGCGCCGGGAAGGTTCTCTGTCATTTTTGGGTCCAATTTCACCTCCCTAAAAGGTGCTGTTAGGGGTGCAGCAATATTCCCCCTAAAGAAAAATGACCTAAGGGCCATCATGGCTCGGCACCCCTATTTTGAAGGTCTCTTTATCCACCCGTCATTTTTCAGCAGATGCGTTGAACAATGTTATGTCCTTTAAGGGAGATCCCCGACAGACACCTCAGGGCTTTGACGTTAGTGTTTCGCTCATTTTGTGGCCAAATTTGTTTTGTACTCTGAGAAAATTTAATTTCCTCGTGTTTCCAATCTGAGTAATTTAAAATTTTTCTCGTTGAACTTCATATTGTTTTCTGCACCCACGAAAGATTTTGGGTTTATGTCCCCTGGGGTCTTGCGGTCTGCAAGGAAGACCTGTCATGCAGATGCGGGTGACATTGCAAAGGAAGCATGGTGCTGTGGCTGACATCCTTGTCTATTCAATATGAGGGGAGAACAAATGGAGCGAGTACTGGCCTTGTGGGAAAAGAGCTTTACACCGTACGCCTCGGGCTTTACTCTGTTGACTACTACCCCCTTTGTTCTGTTAGTGAGGAAATTATAGATCCATCGACCGACTTTTCCTGTTATTCCTTTAGCACGCATTTTGTGCGCTATTACGCCGTGGTCACACTTGTCGAAGGATTTTGCAAAGTCTGTATATATTACATCTGCATTCTTTTTGTCTTCTAGTGCATTTAGGACCTTGTCGTAGTGATCCAATAGTTGAGACAGACAGGAGCGACCTGTTCTAAACCCATGTTTGCCCTGGGTTGTGTAACTGAGGGGTTTTTCTAGATGGGTGGTGATCTTGCTTCTTAGGACTCTTTCAAAGATTTTTATGATATGGGATGTTAATGCTATCGGCCTGTAGTTCTTTGCTATTGCTTTACTGCCCCCTTTGTGGAGTGGGGCTATGTCTGTTGTTTTTAGTACCTGTGGGACGACCCCCGTGTCCATGCTCCCTCTCCATAGGATGGTAAAAGCTCGTGATAGGGGCTTCTTGCAGTTCTTGATGAACACAGAGTTCCATGAGTCTGGCCCTGGGGCAGAGTGCATGGGCATGTCATTTATCGCCTGTTCGAAGTCATTTGGCGTCAGGATAACATCAGATAGGCTTGTGTTAACCAAATTCTGTGGCTCTCTCATAAAAAATTCATTTTGATCTTCGACTCTCAGTACAATTATCATACGTAGTGTAAATTACCAAGGATAACCCCCCCAAAAAAATGTCAGACTTATTTCTAATGGGAGTCCGGAGATGTGCAATCCCTCATTATTACTATACGGAGAATACTATGACTTACCCAGACTAACATGAAAAACAAGATGCTACAAAAATATGCACCAAAAAAAAAAAAAAATGAAGCATGATAGGCAAAAAGAGGGAAAACATGTCATGGGAATAATACAAACTAATCTTTCACACAACAGACCCGAACATGCAATACTCTATTAACTTTTGAATTCATCGAACGATACTGTAGAATTGAAGTAAATTAATGTAGAAAACGGGAATATGGTCATTATTTTTGTATATACACAAAACAACGGCTGACGGTTATATACAAAACAGAAAAGATAGAAATTTGTTTCAAAACCCTGTAAAACCCTGCACCAAATATTATCCTGCATGGAGATTTCGCTCTGCCACATGTCCAATGGAAGATAACTGTTAACAACAGTATATCAAAAATACATGGAAACACAGTACCCCAGCAAACACACACACACACACACACACACACACACACACACACACACACACACACACACACACACACACACACCACTACACACACACATAACAACGTATAAAATACTAAGAGACATTGACAAGGTGGACAAGGATCGAATGTTTCAGAGATGGGATACAGAAACACGGAGACACAATTGGAAACTGAAAACCCAGATGAGTCATAGGGATGTTAGGAAGTATTTCTTTAGTCTTAGAGTTGTCAGGAACTGGAATAATCTGGAGAGTGAAGTAGTGGAAGCAAGTTCCATAAATAGCTTTAAGAAGAGGTATGACAAATATCATGGAGCAGGGAGAGAGTGAATTAGTATGGACCAGTGAAGAGGCGGGGCTAGGAGCTATGACTCGACCCCTGCAACCACATATAGGTGAGTACATATAGGCGAGTACACACACGAGAGTTGTTGGGGCTCTGTGAAAGTTTGCTTTAAACCACCATAACAGAACTCATCAAAAACAAAAACATTCTAGACCTGATCTTCACGAACAATGAAGAACTAATAAGGGACATAACAATATCAAATGTTGCAGGTTAAACCATCTCAATGAAATACGGACAAGCATAGCAACAATCATAGATACTCCAGGAAACAGCCTGGATGTAGGGCTGTTAGTTTGTTTAACTTCAAAATCAAAAAATTAATTGGGGCCAGATAAAGAAATATCAGACATTCCCTGGAAAACGTTCCTGAACAATCTCAACACACCAGAGAATAGAAAAGATGAATACTTTATGTTCCGCTGAGAAAGCCTGAAAGATCAGCTATTGACAGGAAACAATGCACAAAAGAAGAAAAAGTGACAGAACTGCTTAAAAAGAGAACGTCACAACGAAGGAAAGATAACATACAGGCATTAAAATATTCTGACCAGAAGAAGACAAGGATCATAAAGGCGTTAGAGAAATGTTGACAAAATCTAACTATTTTTAAATGCGTGCAAAATTCAGTTTAAGAGTCACTCCTAGAACTGGCTCACTAACATCTGTGTGCCTAAATACTGTAATCCAATTTATGTATAATGGTTGGCCAGGACCAGGGTCCTGGCACGGGTCTTAATCTTGTGATGACCCGTCTCTGGCTCCCGAAGGAGAATCGGTTTTGCAGTGTTGCAGCATGTGGTGTTCAAGCACTGTTCTGGACAGTGGATCTGGTGCTTCTCGTGAGTTAGAACGCCCTCTGTAATCTTTGGGTTCCTTTCAGGAACACTGGCTCATACACATGCTCATGCTGGATACATATGCATATTCAGCGATATACTCATGCATATGCACTCGTACACATGCACGCATACTACCACTTAAGCAAACATACATACCCACAAGCATATACATACTTTACTGTGGACACGCCTAGTCTTACATTTTTTATTAGCGATGGGGAGGATATGACGTTATCACTGTTAACAGCTTGTCCAGGGTGTTGACTCCATGGTACACTTGGGTAACCACATGTAGTCCAGAGGTAGGTATTACGTTTGTTAGGGAACTGAACAGGTGTTTCCTGACGCGGGTCTTAGTCATATGATGACCCACAGCTGAAGCTTTTGGTCATCTGATCGAGGCCTTCAGCTGGCTTACCCGTCCACCCCTTTAAAAATTATGGTGATTTCATCATGTGTGTGTAATCCAATGTTACAATGTTATATATTTTGTAAATAATCTTTTATTGTAAATTCATAAAGTACTATTCAACCTTTTCCAATCTAATCATTATATTTTAGTGATACCTTGTAAACTGTATCTTAACTATTCTTTGAACTTCCGCTCATTGTGTTTATTACAGCCATATGCCTTTTTTTTTAGCATTAAGCAGTCTTAGTTCTGGTCTAAGATGTGCCATATGGACCAAGTTGTGACGGATATGCAGGCTAGCGGGCCACCAACAGGAACAGTGTAGTTGACCAGGTAATGAACAAGAAGGCTTGGACCCAGGTTGGGTCGCGAGAGTAGGAAAACTCAAAGCAGGTCACAGGTAAAATATCAAGGGTAAATCACGTTTCTCTGTATGACCCCTGCGGGTTTAGCCCTTACCTTTACATATAATAATGAATCCCAAGATACATATTTACTGCTAGGTATACAAGAGAAGCAGGTGTACATAGGAAGCAGATGTACAAGAGAGGAGATGTAGAAGTGTCAATGAAGTGCCCACAGAGGACTAGCACATCTCACCCTCAACACTGCTGAAGATCACAGCTGCCACAAACACTCTCAGAAGGCCACACAGGCTGCAGAAAGGCCATGGCATCTTGACACTCAGAGGTACACTAGCAATGACTCCTCTTCCTCCTGTATGGTTTCTGTCGGAGCGAGTGTTGAGTACAGTATGAAGTCACGGAGAGTAGACTGTACATTAATAGTCAGCGGCTACATCCACCTCACTTACACGAGAATGCTATCCACTCCGCGCAAGACATGAGCTGACATGGTTACTGCGCTGCTGGAGTTGACTCCTCAAGGTTGGTTCATCGATGCCGGTGAAGGGCTCTTGATCCAAGGAAATGAACCTGGCCTCCCCTCTTCCGATTATTTATCCATCGTATCTTAAATCAAACGACTTCGTTAGCAAGGTCACTGATCCACGTGGAGGACCAGTTAGTTATTTATAAAACTACAACTAGGAAGGTCTCGGTACAGGGGCGTATCTACTATGAAACTAATGAAGCTTAAGCTTCAGGGCCCCTAATCCCGGAGGGGCCCCAGAAGCCACTTTAGTCCAGATTGCATAATTAATTTTGTTGGGGTCTACTGTATGAGAAGGGGTCCCCATAACAGTTCAAGCTTCAGGGGCCCCAGAAACGTAGGTCCGCCACTGCCTCGGTCATAAGACCAAAAGCTCCAGTGGCGGGTCATCATATAATGAAGACCCGCATCAGGAAACATTTGTCCTGTTTCCTGACAACCTTTACCTAACCTAATCCTATTATCCAAAGCAATCTTAATTTGAAAAAGGGGCGGACGGGTAAGCTAGCGGAAGGCCTCGGTCACATGACCAAAAGCTCCATTGGTGGGTCATCATATGACTAAGACCCGCGTCAGGAAGCACTTGTTCTGTTTCTTGACGAATCTTACCTACCCTAACAAACAGGAGTTTGGCAGACTTATCTCCACTGTTATCGACTAAGGAGTGACTCTTCTGGCAGGTCCATGTATTGGTCTCACACATGGATATCTCATGTACAGATACCTAGCACCCATCCGAGACTTGTTTATCACTGACAGTCCATCACCTTTTAATTGAGTGTCCCGTTTATCAGAATAGGATCATTCATTTCGACGCTCAGACGCCTTTAATCAACCTACTCTTGCTAACGGTACAGCCTTTACAGCTGATTTTCTGACTTTGGACGAAACTGCCTTATAGCGTCAACCCAGACTACCTCCCACTGGCACTCTCTCCGCATACACAAAGCTTCCACTAGCCGCTGAATGACCCATCAGGGTTTGACACTTTTTTTATATAGTCGAATTAAAATAGATACATGCTTTCTCGGACCCAGGTCCAGGATGAAACTCGCCATTTTATCTGGGTGATTTGTAGTCTTTCTTTTTTTTTTTTAGGCAGAGTATCATGAAGAGTAAGAGTAATCTATCTGGTACTGCAAAAGAGTTAAGAGTCCTGCGAGCCTCAGTAGGTAGACATCGTGCCTGTCTGTAGAGGAACTTTAGTCTAACGTTCGCTTTCTTTGCTACACTGATCCCTATTAATATAAACTTTACTAAACCAGGTGAACCGCACATCCAGCCTGTAGACACTGCCAGCGAACTTAATGTCTTCTCCTCTACTACAGGATCAAAACTAGTAAGCAAAATCCCACCCTCAGGCGAAAGACTATCATACTGGAAATTACCCAAATACTCTATACTTAGCTCCAATTAATGCTACTGAAGTCTAACTGATCATAAAGTCATTTAAAAACAAGACAGGAAACCTAAATATTTTGCCAACACTCATGTACAAAAAAAAGCAGCTCTTGTCCTGTCGCCCATTATTGCAAATGTTTAACAAATCATTAGAATCTTCAACTTTCCCATCCATACATCAACACATCAAGGTTTACCCCGATCCTCAAAGGAGGCGATCCAAATGAACTAAATAACTATAGTCCTATATCAAACTTTCCCTTACTTTCTAAAATCTTCGAGAAAATAATACACAGTTTACTCCTACCTATCTCACAACATACTTAACCCCTGCCAGTTTGAGTTTAGGCCGAAAGAAAGTACGAATGATCCAATTATACAAATGTTTAACTGCTTTATGCAGCGCTTGAAAAAAAAAATGAGCATGCTCCGGGACTCTTCACAGACCTCAGGAAAGCATTCTATCTAGTGGACCACATTATCTTGCACGCTGAACTAAAACATTACGGGGTCAGAGGACATAACCTTGCATACCTAAAATCTTATCACAAACGGTGTAACCTCGTCCACTCAGCCTACAGCCGTACGAGTGCCCCTTGATCCTCTGCTCTTTCGTATTTACAGTAATGATCTCCCCTACGCATCTCATCTCCTTAAACCAGTTCTATTCGCAGTTGATATTACTTATGTCTTCTTCCACTCAAACCCAACTATACTTAGTGACAATGATAACGACGAGCTACTAAAAATATCTACGTGGATGACGACCAACAAACTCACTCTCGATATAGAGAAAACATTGTACTGTACATGCTGTTTGGAAACAGAGCTTTAAATATCCAACTTAACATATAATCAATGGTTTCCCCATTACAATACAAACTGAGGACCTTGACTACAACCTTAAATTTCATACTCACATCCAACATATAGCCAAGAAGGTATTTGTGTTTGGGGGATGTACAACTAATTACCTTAAACCATTAATAACCCAACAAAAAGCTGATGTACGGATTATCACCCATTCCTGCGCCAGACAACACACCCCTCCACTCTTCAAGAGTTAGAATTTGCTTAATATACAAAATATGCACTCATATTACTGTGCCTATTATATATAGGAAACATTAAACTCCAATGTAAAACCTCCCCTCAAAATGCTCCTTGATAGCTACAACAGAACACACAGGCACAACAATGGGACAAAACAATCTTCGACATAACTCGTGTCTGTCTCATGCAAAAATGCAATTCAAATTCAAGTTTATTCTCTATAAGGGTTACAATGTGGGGTTTACAGGTTTTGGGTATTGTGTGGTTTACATGTTATAAAATACTAATTACAGAGGGGGCCACTAGGACACCTAGCCTGGCTAGGCATTTCGAGCAAACTTAGATTAATTCTTAACATTAAATCCTTACAGATTATGGTATTAAGGCTAAGTGACTACATCATAATTTGTGAGTTTAGCAATGTGAATGCTTTTGTTTTGGCACAATACAAAGTGTCTATATTGGAGTATCATAGGCAAACTTATGACTAGTTAGGATTTATTATTTTAAGATTAAGATTAGTATTTCTGGGTTTATAGTCAGTGGAGTGAGTGTAATTGTGAACCACCAGGTGGTTATCATGTAGTTAGTTGTCGGGGGGTATCAGGGAGATAAGATGTTTTCTAACTGTAGTTTTGAAAGTGATGAATGTGTCTGCAGTTCTAGAGTTTTCAGGTAGGGTGTTCCAGATTTTAGGTCCTTTGAAATACATTGAATTTTTGTAAAGGTTTAGTCGAACACGGGGAATGTCAATGCACATAAAGGTCCCCAAGATCTGGAATTCATTGCCCGAACTAGCAAAAGGTCCCTTGTCTGCCAATCAGTTTAGAGCTATAAGTTAAAAATAACTTCATCTCCATATCGTAACTACACCAATATTGATATATCAAACAAAATTAAGTACTTCCTGTTTCTTCACCATTTCTAACAATCTTCCCATAGCCTGAAATCACAGAGCCCGTCTGAAATTACTTAATAAATTCCAATTAACTTAAGCTCACTATATCAGTTAACAGTTTTAATACACACTGTTGTAAATTGTACTACTTGTAATATTTTTGCTACCTCTCTTTTTTTTGTAAAAATGCATAATTAAAATTTACCACTAATAACCTGTCTAGTCGTCAGCAGTACTTCGGAAAACATTAGGACTGTCTGCCCGAAATGCTCATTCATGCTAGTGGCTTTGTGCTTAACAATATTTTATTACATGTAAACTACGATTTGTATACTACACAAAGAAATAAAATATGTTTGTTTTTTATACAGCTCACAAACTTTAGACGAATACTGACCGTAGGTAATGAGCAGGGACAAATCAGACATTTTCAGATATGTATATAAAAAAAAGTCGGTGGAGAACTAAGATCCATAAAAGACATATCAATGGAAAACTGAAGGTATGGCAACTGTATATTAAGATAAACCCAAATGGTGCTTAACCTAACAGAGGGACTTGGTAATCATCCGCAGTGCTTATCTTGTTATTATTATTATTATAATCAAAAAGAAGCGCTAAGCCACAAGGGCTATACAGCAGTGCTTATCTTGTATATGTGGCTGGCGTAAACTGCAAGAAATTACGATATACATAATTTACCCTACCATTGGCTGGTGCTAACCAGATACAACGTGTATTTCTTTACGTGTTGTTGCAAATACTAAGACTATAATTACGTTAGTTTCTCACGCTCCTGCAGCATTCAACACTACGCTACAACCTACAATAAGCTCAGAACATATTGGGGAAGCATTTGTGGTGTTTAGTCACGCGAGATACTTAGTCTCAAGGAACCTAACAAATGACGTTGATATGTGTGTGTTTTGTTATTAAAAAGAATTTTCCAACAATTTTTTATAGGGTTGGACCATAACATTAAGCCAGCGGAAGGCATCGGTCAGATGGCCAAAATCTCCAGCGGGTTATTATATGACATCTAGGACCCGTAAGAGGGTCCTGTTTCCCAACTAATCTTATCGAACCTATATTATTTTAAGACCCGTGTCAGGAGACACTTGTCTCCTGACCAATATTATAACAACAATGAAGGTTTTCTGACGCCCATTCGTAACGATTTATATCCCTTGGGAGGTACTCTTTATCCTAGGAATTGGATCCTACTTTTTATTTAGATCGAACCTGATTGTCTCTCATTTCAACATTCGCTGTATGACCTGTACAGTTTAGCAAAATTCCCATGAATGTAATAACCAGATGTATTTTGGTTGCTGCGCGATCCGAGAAAGGGATCCCTGTATCTCAAAAGCTTTGCCTCTTCTACCTCAATACACACAAAATGAATAGTACATAGTCATAAAATTCTAATGCAGCAAAATATAAAAATGTGTATGCGTGTGCATATGTATGAGTGTACGTGTGTACATTTGCGTATGTATAGAAGTCTGTAGTCACCTACATGGTTGCAGAGGTCAAGTCTCGGCTCCTGGCCCCGCCTCTCAACTTGCGGCTTACCAGATTCACTCCCTCGTATTCTCATGTGCTCTATCGTGCCTGCTTATAAAACTAT